AAACGCCTCATTCATCACTGGCACCTGATATCGGCTATTTTCAAACACACGAGCGATTTCCTGACACATTTTCTTGCATTATTTAACTTGGATTAAACGGGATATAACGTTTACACGGCATTTGAGATCCGCTTTTTGTTCGGGCAACGGAAGATGATGTAGAAGACAAATTTACTCTGTCAGATTTATTAACACGTATAGTATATGTATAATATCCCAAATTATTTTAGCTTTTCGTTGTTGCTAATAAGTTTTAAAATAAAATGATGGAAATTTAGTTGCCTTGAAGTATTTAAAATTGCATCGAGATATGATAATTTAAAATAAATGCCCAATTAAAAATCCGTGCGCTTTTAATAAATTACGATAAATTATATCAGATGTCATTAAATTCAAAGATACTATAAATTCTAATATATTTAAACTGAAAAGTATCACACATAAGGATGTTTATAACTATACATATTTTTGCTGATTCTATTCTATCCTATTGAAATATTTCAGATTGAATTTATAGTTACGACCTTTGGTGTTTATTATATTCAAACTGGAACGAAATATACCCAGGCTTCAAAAGCGGAAAAAAAAATAACAAAAGCAAACGATGGAAACAAACATCTAATGACACGTGTGTTGAAACGCAAATTTTTCGGACATGTGCGTTCGATCGGCGCTTAATCGCGCGCGTGCTCGTCCTTATATTTTTTGGATAATACGGCACGATAGGAGAGCAAATGTGGGACAAATCGAAACTGCAATTATCCGACATTGACTACCTCGCCGGGGATCGGGGGTATTTTTAATCCCTCGACGGAGCGGTGGCGGTAAGCTTGACGTCAAGCGGACTAGGCGCGGATGATTTGCTCCACGTATACATGCACTTTATCAATATATAGCGCATCACCGTTCAGATAATCGATCGGTCACCGCCTTCTTCTCTCGCGATCGTCCTCTCCCGCGCGATATTTTTCCTTCGCGTTTTAAAGGCCACAACACGGTGATCGATCGTCGTCTAGCCTTGAGATCACGCATACTATCGATAATTTTAGTTGTATGCGATGTCCCATTAAATTATCGTCGAAAGAATAAAAACAAAATAAAAAAAATAAAAAAGGTCTTCTTGAAGAAAAATCGGAGTAGCTGTACGATAAATCAGAGACTGTAAGTTAGGCTGGAGTTTACATTCGCGATTAATATCTCAGGAGAGAGTCATCAAGGACAATACGATAATAATGCTGCAAACATAGGAATACAGGAGTACAATGTGAAATACTAATTACTGAGATCATCCATTAAGTCTGGACGAAAGAGCCTATCCATATTTCTGCCACGACAAATGTCACCGAAGATAAATGTAAAAGACAAAAAGGATATAATCGTTTATAAGTCACTCGCGCGGCCAATAGCGTATTAGCTAAACTTTTCTTTTTAAATGCATCTTTCCATTTTTCCAAATACGAATACATATTGTGATATAAAAAATACAATATTAATTTATTTTATATTTTTCATATATAAATATTTTATAT